GGATCGCTCAAGCGGAAGGGAGGCGGGGCGCCATCAGACGCGCACTTCCGAGGCAGAGCCACAGCTCCCACAATGCCCCACGCCAGCACCTGCGCACTCCGATAAAATGCGTGCCGTGGGGTTACGCGGCAGCTCCAGAGCCAATCAGGGGCGCCCCTCCCTGTACTGCCCCGCTGTGGCAGGAGCGGGAGAGCCACGCAACAGAAAGGAGCTAATAAGAGGACGCCTCTCGGCCCACGTGCTGTGGCTTCGGCGTAGGATTGGTTGCTCAGGTGCGCTGAGTTCCGGGGTGGTGGAAAGCGCGCGAAATGCGATGCTGCAGGGCGGCTCCTGAGGACGGGTGAGCGGCTCTGGGCAGGGCGGCCGCTGCCGGAGCCCGACGAGTTGGGTGCTGAGCCGCTTCGCCTCGGCCTGCTGATAGGGCTTCTCGCTGCAGGGCCCATCTCTGCGCCCGAGCTGCCGCCGCGCCAAGGCCAAGTGGTTTCTCTTTGTTTTCAGGATTTATGAGGCTTGTTGTAGGGTCTGGTTGGTGTAGGCGGTTCCTAGGTGTGCGTAAGCACGCCAGTGGTCTCCTTTACGTTCTTTTCCACCCAGAAATCTCCTTTCTATGGCTGTTATGCTTGTGCGTGCCCTTGCTGAGCTTCTGCTGAATGCTGCTTCTGTAAAACCTTTCAGTTCCCCACTTTGACTACGAGAGATTTGACAGTTTTTATCTTTAAAAATTTAGAGTAATAATACCACAAATGCTGAAATGCTGAAAAGCATCTCTAAAGAAATAGCAGCTAAGTATTTGATACTGTTCAACGTGTTATAGAAAAGCCAGACAGGAGAAAACATTGTCACGTGATGCAACACGTCAGAAACAAAGCTGATTACTGTGGGTTTTTTTTGTAGAGTATTTTTGGATGTGAAGGATGGACTTCTCAGTGATTGCTATTGGAGATGTACAAAATGTGCTTTCAGCTATGCAGAAGAACTTGGAGTGCCCAATATGGTATGCCAGGAGAATAATGTGAACTCTGTCGTAGTACAGTTAATGAGTCTTTTGTTTTTCCCCTCTCTCTGTTTTCCTTTCTTTTCAAATGCTTTGTCAGTTCTATGGGTATGAGAAATCAAAAATAATTGTATTTTAAGGCTAAGTATACTGATGTTTTTGTAAGGCTCAAGTGAGAAAGTGCAAGACAGAACCTGTATTTTGCTCCTCTGTTCTAGCAAAATTTGGTTTTCTATTGCAACCTAGCTGTGTCAGTCCTCTATCCAGTTAGTAAAAAAAAATGTAACTGATTGGATTAGAGCATTGCTTGTAAAGCAGTCTGGATCTTTGTCCTTTGTCTCTAAAAGGTAAGTGAGGTCTGTAGTTCTTTAATGCAAACAAATGTTGAAATAGCATAAATTCTAGTTAAAGCCTGGATATCTAGAGTGTCTGATAAGCTTTTGAAAGACTCTTGCTTCCATTAAACCAAACTGCTGAAGTTTATTTTGTCTATGGTGGCAAGTCTTTTTAAATTCTTACATCTTAAATCCATTTGGAAATATTCTACTTTACTGCCATTGGAAAACCAAAATAATTTCTGTGTTGTAATAACATCTCTTACAAAGGCACAGAGCAGAAAGCGTAGAATGTCTGTAGCGCTATGCAGAAAAAGACTTGCATCCAAAAATTGCTGAAGAGGCAGCATGCTTTTTGCTGAGGTGTTGCCATTGGATGGTTAGCTTGGTTATTCATTGACTTAACAGTGTTACAACAGCTAGAATAGAAAATATTTTCTACATCTGCTGTTCTTTATTGCATGTGGAATTTGACGGAATAATGAAATATCTCACAAAGTGATTTTACACAGTCTGATACTGTTGATTGATGGGAGGAAGCTGACTTCAACATCGAATGGAGATTTCCAATATCACTTTTTTGTATATGTGCAACAAAGATCATGGAACTATGTACTGTTCAGCTTAAATAACAAGACACATTGTGAATGGCTGTTCAAAACCAGGATTTTAATGCACCTAGCATTTTTGTTAGTAATTATTAACTGGGCAGAAGGATGTGAATATGGTGAGGTTGGGCTGTCTCACTTTATTTCCATATGTGACATTAAGGCGTAAAGGTATTATCTTTCTTTTCTATTATGGCAAATTAATGTGTGTAGAGGTAATGCTGAGGCTGCTTTTGGCTCTTAATGTGTATTTTGCTATAGGCACAAGTTAGACTGTTCTGCAATAATAGTGTTGTATTTATTTTGGCTGTTTTTGTCCAAGTTACGTTGTTGTGGTAGTTTGATTGGTATCATTATATAAACTCTTTTACATAGTACTAGGTTGTAGACAGAACACAATCGCAGAACGGCTTCCTTATGTACATACAGTGTAAGACATTCATGAACCCTTTCTTATGTAACCAGGGTTTGTAACACAGTGTATGCCTAAATTAGAGCAGTATTTTTTTTACATGATTGTTTGTTTGGTTTTATTATGTGTTTGAGGTAGATTATATTTTAAGGTGAGTTGAACGAGTGAATTCGTTAGAGCTTTTCTGAAAGCCCTGTTATCAAGTTAAATGTTAATTGTTACACTGTGTTAGACAAGAATAGGTTTAGCATAAAAAACCAGGGGGAGGAGGAATGACTTAAATATTTATTTGTGTTGGCACATCTGTGCATTTGGTTCATACAAACACAGAGAGAGTCCAGAGGGCTCCTGAACCCAGCAGCACTACGCTGTTCTTTACTATTGTCATGGGAGGTCAGCAATGAAACAGAAGACATTGGTGTTCTAACACTCAGTTGCCCACCCCGCTGAACTGGCATTTCCAGAAAATGCTGTCTTTTTTTTCAAAGGCAAAGATTGTGAAGAGTTGTTAGGTATGTATATATCACATAATGACAGTATTTGTTACTGTACTAGGTTCTCAAATGAAAAATTGTCAAATGTGTCCTACTTCTCTTCCCCACCAAGATATTTTTTTTTAAGTTCAGGAAAGTGACTCTATTTCTGAATCTATTGTGTTGATCCTATTTCACATGTAACTTCTGTGTTGTTGTTTTCCTTCATTTTTATTTTTGTAGCTTGGATGTGGTAGAAGAGCCAGTTTCAACAAAATGTGATCACGTATTCTGCAGGTAGGTTTGAAAACTTGTAATTGCAATGCTTAGTCAATTTGTTTTTATTCTCCATGTATACGTATTTTCCTTAGTGCTAAAGGTGTATACTGTGTTTTGATAACTTAATGTGTAGCTATTTTAGGGGAAAAATAACTTCTGAGTAAGAAATAACTGCAGTTTCACAGATGTGTCAAAGGGGATTCATTAATTCATTGTAACACCAGAACAAGAATACAGGCATTCAACTTGATAATGAAAGATTGCTACAGTGTTACACATCTGAGCTCAATTTTAAAGAAAATAAAATCCTCACTTTTGTTACCATCATGATTATTCTTTTTTCCTAGGTTCTGCATGTTCAAACTCCTCAGCAAAAAGAAAAAAGGTGTGATACAGTGTCCTCTGTGTAAGACTGAAGTTACCAAGAGGTAATGCATCTCTGCAAGTGGGCTTGAGGATGAGAAGATTGACCTCTAAGGAAAAGTTAATTGCTTTAAAAATGTCTTAGCAGAAGATTGAAATAAACAAGAAAACCTGGTTATTAAGTAAACAGACAATTTCTAAAGGAGTAACTCTTTAGTGCCTTGCTTCAGTATGATTTTTTTTCAAGTGATCGCAGGTGAAGACACTTTTCTTAGCCAATGTTTATGCTGTCAAGTATATACTGTATTATTGTTCAGTCATTATGACTAGTTTCTCTGTGTTAAACCTACGTGAAGAAAAATGTGAACTTTTCACTTAATGATAGCTTTAATTTCTGTAGTAATGGCTGCTTGGGGGCATTATGTTGTTATTCCTTGGCAACAGTTTCTTATTGTCTCATCTTCCACTTCGCAGTTTTACTCCTTTTTCTATTCAGCCTAAATTCTACAGAAATTATTAATAGCTTACCTATATGTTTGTCTTAAAACAACTCATGTGGTGATGTTATTTCAGAAGTCTGAAAGAAAATTCCAGATTTAAGCAACTAGTTGAAGGATTGTTGGAAATTATCCATGCGTTTGAGCTTGACACTGGACTAAAGTGTAAGTGTTGCAAATGTATAACCTCTGTTTCTTTTAGTAAGATTTTGACATTTGTATTACAATTAACTGAAGGGTACCTCATTTGCTGTGCAGTACTCTCTATGGCAAGAATTATCAAAAGTTTTTTTTCTTGGAAGTAGAAGTAGAAGTTCTCTTACATTTCCAGGGTTTTCCTACAATAACCTCTTGAACAGTCTTAAGTGTTTCTACTGTGCATTTGATAACACCAACCAATCGTACTTTCAGATCCTGAAGTGTGGCTGTGGTATATCAAATAGTCTTTAATCTATAACTGTGCAGCAGAGTCCTGCTCCTGATTATGCCCAGCCTTGCAGCTTTAGCTTCTTAGGCAGTCTTAGAGCCTGAATTAGCAAGTGCTATAACAGTGTGTGTTAACTTGTCCCATTCAGATATATCCTTTTGGAATCCAAATTTATCCTTTCTAGTACTTAGCCTTGTAAAGGGTATTGACAAGTCAGACACATGCTTGCTGATATTTCGGGAGACAAAATATTGTTGTTGGGGACAGATGGTGGTTTGTGGGTTTTGTTGTTTGGGTTTTTTTAATCTTAGTATATTGTGCTGTAAAAACTAGGCTTTGTTTTCAAAGTCTTTTCAACTTGTTCAGTCATTCCAAAATCACTAGTATTTGATCCTGTTCTTGTTAGATTATCCAATATAAATGAAACTGGTTGTGAAAATTAGTTGGTAAGATTAAGATTTTACTTAATACTTGAAGAGTACTCATAAAGAACAATCAGACTAATAATTCAATCAGATTTCTTTCCTTGGTAATTGTATTTTAGCTGTATATGTGCTAGTTGCACAGGGTCTATGCAAGGCTATTTTATTAATATATAATACCTGTTGTCATGCTCAATGTAAGAAAATATTTTTGCTTTTTTTTTCCTGTTGACATTTTTCAGTTTTAAACAGTCATCGCTTTCCTAAAACATCTGCAGAAGCTGCTGCTGCTGAGTTCCTGTGCAAAGAAAGTTCTGTCATCCAAAGTAAGGGTTTCAGAAACAGGAGAAAAAGTGCTAAAGAAAATGGACAAGAAAACTACACCTTGGTATTTTTTTTCACATTTATTTTTGTGGACTGTTTAGTGTTTTATTTGGAATGTGTATATGTGCATATATATAAATGAATGAAATAGGAGATTTTGGTTTGCTTTCAGATCACTGTTTGACTTGAATATTATTCCAGACAAGGACATCTAAATATTTTTGTCTTCTGAATCTATTCTGAGAAGTTGTTTGCATAAAGTGACCTGAACTTAACAGAATATATTATGGCAATATTTTCTTTACTGAAACTAGGGTTGAAAGCTGTTTTGTACTACTTATTTAATGAGGCTGTCTAACTATTGGTAGGCTTTTTGCTTTTTTCAGTGGTAAGACCACGAATATGTCTTAAATTCTTAAGACATTACCCAACTTAGGGTGATTGTTATGTGTATGAGTTTGTTCATGGTGCGTTGTTTCTTGTCTCATCTGTTCAATTCTGTATAGAATGTTAAGAAAGATAAAACTGTTCCTGATTTGAGCTGTTAGATGCATGATAATTGTTTTTATTAACACATCCCATTACTGATAGCAGTAGGACAAATTACGTGTATTGGATTTTTGTATAGAGGCTGCCAATTTAAATACTTAGTTCATATGTATCACCTGCTGTAGTATAAATAATTACTACTTATTTTTTTAGAAATAGCCTACTGTTATAAGTAACTATATTCTTTTCTGTGCTCCCAGCAGGAAGCTAGTGTGGATACACAGCTTACAGATACCAGCGTCAAAAGGTGTCCCCTAAGAAACAAAACCCAGAAGTGTGACTTGGAAAAAGGGATTTATATAGAGTTCGGTAAGGTTTGTTTTAGATCCGCACTAGTTGAGCTTATGTATGATGCTTGGGAAGTAATGAAAATTTATGAAGTTCAAAGTCTTTATAAATACTAATTTCTCCTTAACACCCAAAATGAGAATAAAGGAACAAGTGAGAGACAACTAGAAATCAAAGGGGTTTTTACATAATTTTTTATACTGTAGGAAATAACACTGCTGTAGTAAACCTTTAAGGCTCGGTGTACAAGATCCAAAGAAGAGAAGATGCTTTCAGGTTTGAAAAAAGTTATAGTTGTACAACTAATGATAACTACTGTATTCTAGAGAATATTAAACCTTGTCACCAGTTGCTTGTGGCTCTAGTTAATCACTAGAGATGAGAATGAAATCCAACCGAGAAAAGAATATTTTATTTCTGTGTATCCTAGCTTTTGAGAATTTCCTTTTTATCTGGTGCTGACTGCTGTGAGAAATAAGATAGATGCTGTGCATAGTTTACTTCTTTCTGGTTCCTTCAAGGAAAGAATTGCTCCTTTTAACAGATAATGTTCACTGCCTCTCTTTTTTTCCTTACTGCTTCTGCCAAGATCAATCAAAGGATCCAAGACAGATATTCTAATATATTGCTTTGACTTCCAATTCAAAATTCTAAATACTAGCAGCTGTTTCACGTATAAACTTAGAAACTGGAAACTCTTAGCTAAGTAACTCTTAGTAGTGCTCTGCTACCAGTCACTATATTTAAACAGAGTTTTATGCAGGAGCCATGTAGATATTAATACATAGAAATCATTATAATTAGGTAAAATATTGCACAATTGAACTTGATTTCATCTGATAACAGTTGAAAGCATCTGCCTCTAGAAAGAACTAAGCATGTGTGCTTCTGTGATAATAAACACTGAATATGGCAAGTCATCTTTCTCTGAATCATTTCAATTAGAGTAACAGCTGATTTGTTTTTAGGCTCTGATTCATCTGAAGAGGTTTTTAAACAGGCAAGCAATACTGGGTAAGTAAAGGTGATTAGAAAATAAGAATTCCTTGAAGACAGTAGTTCAGTATTCTGATACCTATGTTCTAGTTTCTTAGCCTAGGACTGAGAATTCTTCAAGCTAACACGTAGTTTTCAACTTCGAGGGCATCAGGGTAGAATGGGTAGCTGACTCCCATCAGTTTGTCATTTAATATACTTCAAAGCTGTTTTATAAATGTTTTGTTGCTTACACAGACATTAGATCTTCAAGAGAAAAGCAGGTACTATGCTTTCAGGAATGTGGGAGGGGATATTCTTAAAGAAACAGCCTGAAAGACTGAAGGGATCTAGTTGTGGTGTCAGTCATGAAGCCTGACTTCTCCAAAGACTATTTCACAGAGCAAAAAGGGAAAATTAAGTATAAGCTTTTATTATGTCTGTTGTGGTTTTCTCTGTAATAAGGGTAGATTTCCCTTCCCAACAGGTTAGAAGACAAAGAAGTTCTTCAGATTTCATCTCAAGAAAAGCTAGAAGAACTTAAGAGTGCTGAGAAGGGGAATGAATATTCTTGCAATACACATCCTGACAAGCTGGGTGCTAAAGAAATAATTTTACCAAGTGTTGTAGGTGTGTTTGTTATTTTTGGTGACAAAAATGAGGAAGTTTAAAAGAAAGACTACAAGTTAACATTTTGGTTTCATGTGATTAAATGTATATATTTGCAGTCTTGTATGTTGTAGTTTTGTTGATGCCTACAGATAGTGACAGTACCACAAAAGCCTATAGCTGTAGACTAAATACTTAAAACGTGGATATCCTGTGCCCAGGAACAGAAGAGAAAAAAGTAACTTGATAAAAGTGCAAAACTTACTCTATTCTACACAAGCCGTATTATCCCTTATAATACAAGTTGAGAGCACTGTCTGGTAATTCATGTAAGAAGTTGGATGAACATATCTCATGTAATTTGATATTTTTCCTTTATCTAGAGGGAGATTTGTGCAGTGTAATACTCTGTTTTGGGGGGGAAATTTTAAAGCAAAGTAGCCATTAAGCTTGCATTGTTCTTGTGCATGTAAAATAGCGCTTAATAATTTATAATACCTATAAATCTTCAGGTGAAAGTGATTTCTCGAAGGAAGACTTGAGCAAGAAAAGCACTCGGAGCATCACCTCATGTGCCAAACCTGGGCAAGTGAATATGGCTGAATACCAGAATTCTCCTTTAAATGTTCTTACTGTAGACCTACTCACAGAGCAGTGTGACAGACTAGGTAATGCCAGCCCCTTAAGGAATGAGGACACATCTTTCTTTAAGAACACAGAAGAAATGAATGCAGAACAAGCTTGGTGCAATAGTAAAAGCAAAAAATTTGACTTAAAAGATAGTTCAGAGAGCAGGTTGGATAAAAGCAGGGATATAGATATTGTTGTACAAAGTGTGGAAGCTATGGAAATGTATGAATCTCAGAGTGATTCTTTCCAAGAAAAAGTACTTCCTCTGGAGAAAATACTTCAGCCAGAGACACTTAACTGTGATACCCTGAATCAAGTTTCTAGGAAGAGACTGAAGCGAAGTGTTCAGAAAGTCAATGAATGGTTTTCAAAAAGCAATGAGATTCTGTCTTCCAGTTGTTCCCAGGATGATTCTGTTGGAGCACCTGATGTTTTGAGTGAAGGAGATAAGTATTTATCAGACAAAGATTCCTGTATTTCAGAAAACACTGACCCTATGGTAGATTCAATGGAAATTGCATTGGTTCAAGGAAACAAGAGATGGTCAAAACAAACAGCAGATACCATCAAAGACAAAATATTTGGGAAAACATACAAAAGAGAGAGGAAGTCAAATCCCCCTGTTATCTTGAGAGAGATTTTACCTGCTACAAAAAAGGAAGATGTGTCTGCTAATGAGAATTTGTTGAGTAATTCCAACAAAGACAGACTAAAACGAAAAAGGAAGACTGCCTATGTCCTGCAACCTGAGGATTTCATCAAGAAAAAAGATACAGAAGATGCAGATGGGTACCCTCAAAGTGTTAATTGGTGCTTTAGAGATGCTGAGAAGGAAAGATGTGATGAAAGTTCTGTTGTTAATAAGAGTCACCCCTCTGAGAACAGAGAGGATAATACACTAGTAGAACTTGAGGAAGGAGGAGGATCCACGTGTAAAAAAGCTGCTGAAAAGGTGACTGGCAAGGACTGTGATGGGGAGATAGAACTGAGTAACTGTGATCAGAAAAGCACTAAAAAAAGAAGTTTTGCAGCGAAAAGATGCAGGCGTTCTACTAGAACCATGTGTTCTCTACAGTTAGTGGATAGAACCTCTGTTTCCCCTGATCCAGCTGAGCCACAGATTGATAGCTATCCAAGCAGTGAAGAACCAAGGAAAGTTGATTCTGAGCAAAGACAAGTCAGGCGCAGCAGGAGACTTCAGTTACTTTCTGAAGATAGGACAAAACAAACAGGAAAAGTAATAAAGGGAGCAAGAAAGGGTGACAGTGATTGTGGAGGGTCTTTCTTTGGAGTCCAAAGGAGTGTGTTAGTTCAAACTTCTGAGTGCAAAGACCTTTGTGAGCCCTGGGGTATGTTGAGTCACAAGCCACTCACTGATCTGAAGGGTGGTGATCTGGACGCAAATGAAATACAGATTAGTCTGAAGAATTCATCTGACACTGTAGAAACCAAAAAAAGTCTTTTCAATCCTCCATCTTCATATCAGCATTCAAATTGTAGCTCCTCTGTACCTGATGCAGGTTCTCAGGAAATACTAGGTAGCCCTTACCTCCTACACTCTCCTTCAATGACTGCTGTGCAAAAAATATGATACACTAAATGTTCCAGGGGACTTCAGAACTGAAAAGTTGCCAATGGCTAAAAGTGTTGTGGAATTGACCAAGGAATCTGAAGATAGTGAGTTAGACACACAGTATCTGCGAAATATATTTAGGCATTCAAAACGACTGTCATTTACCCTTTATTCTGCTCCCATGAAGGCACGTGCAGAAGATGCTGCTTCTGAAACTTTAAAGAAGCTATGTGCTGATCAGGTAGAAAATAAGCATAGCAAATACTTAAAAACAGAAACATTGCAAGAAGAGAAAACAACTGCTGAAAGCTCCAGTAGGGTTTGGGAGAAAGAGAAGCTTAAGACCTGTGAATCTGCTTGTGTTAGTGCTGTGACTTGCTTTGTTGGCAACACTGAATGTATGCACACAGGGGAACATCAAGAAGATGTTTCACAGGTTGCAAATCAAGGGAATCTGACACTGAGAAGAATGGGTACTGCTGGGACTGAAGACAAGAACAGATCGCAAAAAGGAGAGCAGGGAAATGAAAAGACAGTGTCATCTGACGTAGAGATAGAAAGGGAGTTGAGACAGAATCCAATCAAAAGTAATAGAAGCCAAAGTGATCAGAGTAATACAGAAGACCACATCTTCCAAAGAACCGATTTAAACACAGTTGATGAAATACGCTTCAGTTCAGAAAGCAATCAAGGAGGAAAGGCCAAAGTTGTTGATGGCAAAGGACCAATACTACATTTTCAGTCCAGATCAATGATTTGTCCTGCAACTTGTCAGCAAAGGCCTGCTGAATTCAGCTGTGAAGTCACTGAAAAAAAATGTAGCGAAAGAGAAAGAAAACAATTAAAGGGGAATGAAGAACAAGCAACCCAAACTGCTAGCACAGGGGTGCCCCAGTGTTTAGTTACAGAGGGTCTTGAAGAACCTTGTAAAGGGAATCGTGATTTTACAGGTTTGTCTGAAACTCCTGATGGCTTACTCTGCTCTGATATTGAAGAGAACACCAGCTTTTCTGAAACTGATAGGAAAGAGAGATCTGCTGTGTTTGTAAAAAGAAGTGACAATGCCCTGGCAAAAGAATTGCACAACAGAAATGTTATTTCTAAGCCAAGATCTCGAAGAAAAGCACGGAAACTGCAATCTTCAGATGAAGAACCTAGTGAGGATGAAGATTTGCCATGTTTGCAGACATTAATATTTGGCAAATCAGTAAGCACACCTTTGCAGATCAATAAACAAGTGACAGCTGTGGTAGAGTCTTCAGTAAGTCCCATCACATTGCCTCACAGTGGAAGTCATGATGACAGTAATGTACAGCAAATCCCTGAAGCTGCCATGAGTAATGGGTGTGGTTCACCAAGCCAGGAGTCGGAATGCTCCATCAACTTATTTTCTTCCCAGTCCAATGTGTCTGAAGAATCAGTTGATAGACCACAAGAGCTGAAGAAACCTTTAATGCAAGTTCATACATCCAAACAAGTGAGCGATGTGAATGAGAGTAAAGAAACTCTTCAAAGTTTTGATGGAGGGCTGAAGAGAAGCAGAACTGACTTCAAAGGTGAATGCCAAGAAGACCCAAACATGGAAGCAAACCTAGGTACAAACCAAGATTTTTATCTCTGCAGCTGTGTTTGTAATGTCATTGCATGTAGGGTTTTGGTGTCTGCATGAGAACGTTGTTCTCTATGTGGTGCTTGCTCTTTTAAAGGAACGTGACAGCCCCAATGAAACAAAAAATCCTCAGTGGTTTATTTCCTGAAAATTAAGTTCTTCCAGTATTCCTTGTTCAGTGCAAAAATGAATAGACTGGGCACTAGATGCCAGACTAAGTTCGTCTGATGGGAATTAATTTTTGGGTGAAATGCTAGTTTTCTTACTGCAATGTGATACTTGGATCTATCAGCAAAATTTCATAACGCCTACCTAAGCTGTTTCACCACATGAAATGTTTGTTTAAATTGGCCGTAGAATTCTGTTGTGCTTATTTTGACCTTTTTATGGCTTTCGTAAATGTTTAGAACTCTTTCATCGCTATTGAAACATTTTGAGTTCTATTTATTTTGCCATGTGTGACACAGTATTCTTCAAAATGTTTACTTAAAGTAGATCTGTGCTTCTAACTTCAGTACTTGTTACTTTATCATTATAGTTAACAGTTGGCTAAAAGGTTTGTGTGGTAAGAGATTATGGATAATGTTTGGGTTTTTTTCTTTAACTAACTTGGATTTTCTTCCACCTTCTTCAAGGTGAAGCATCTGGATATGACAGCGAAACAAGTAATGTAGAAGATTCGTGTGAACCATTCTCTCAGGGTGAAATCCTTACTACGCAGGTAAGTGAGTTTATGCACTAAATTCTAAAAGTGGTTTGCATTCTAGGGTATAAGCAAGTATGTGAAAGCTGTGAAGTCAGTGTAGTCGGAAACTGCTTTTATCATCATTCTTTGTGTCACGAAGTTACTTCCAAGAGCATAATTAATGAAGAATTGTAGAACGGCTTCTGTGCCATTATTTGTCCAATTTTGCCTTCCATGATAACATTACATTCTAATGGCCTTCTGATGTCCATAACTTGTTATGTGGTATTGATTAACAGTAGGAGTAATGGTTTTAAACTAAGGGAGGGTAGATTTAAACTGGATATAAGGAAGAAATTTGTTAGTGATGGTGGTGAAACACTGGAACGGGTTGCCCAGAGAGGCAGTGGAGGCCCCATCCCTAGAAACATTCAAGGCCAGGTTGGACGGGCTCTGAGCAGCCTGATCTATTTAAAGATGTCCCTGCTCACTGCAGGGGGATTGGGCTAGATGACTTCTAAAGGTCCCTTCCAACCCAAAGCATTCTGTGATTACAGTGCTTGATTGTGGGAGATGCTAATGAATTTCCACACTTGACCAGTGCTGGAAACCTCAGCTTTCTGTATTTGTTGTCTACCTAGACTTCAGCAAGGCTTTCAACACTGTCTCCAATAACATCCTCCTAGGGAAGCTCAGGAAGTGTGGGCTGGATGAGTGGTCAGTGAGATGGATTGAGAACTGGCTGAATGGCAGAACTCAGAGGGTTGTCATCAGCAGCAGAGTCTAGTTGGAGGCCGGTAACCAGTGGTGTGCCCCAGGGGTCAGTACTGGGCCCAGTCTTGTTTAACTTCTTCATGAGTGACCTGGATGAAGAGTTAGAATGTACCCTCAGCAAGTTTGCTGATGACACAAAACTGGGAGGTGTGGTAGATACACCAGAAGGCTGTGCTGCCATTCAGCGTGACCTGGATAGGCTGGAAACTTGGGCAGAGAAGAACCTGATGAGGTTCAACAAGGGCAAGTGCAGGGTCCTGCACCTGGGCAGGAATAACCCCATGCATCAGTACAGGCTTGGGGTGGACCTGCTGGAG